GTACGTACCGCCCCAGCCTGTTCCTGAAATACCCTGAGTCTGTGCACTCCACGCCGGCTACCCCGAGCCCCACGGGGATGCTGCCCGAGCGCACTGGGGGCAGTGCAAGGGACGGGGACAGAGGCAGGGACAGCCACGGTGGTTACCAGCAGCCACTGGCCCCGCGAAGGGATGCGGGACAGGCGTGGGAGGGTGGCATGGTGCCATGCTGGGAAACCCCCAGCTGTGTTTGCCAGCCAGAGTGGTTGCACAAGCTGCCTCCTCTGGGGCTGGGATGAAAACGGGCCTCTCCAGGCCGCAGGATGGCGGGTCCAGTGGTGCTGAGCGCGGAGCCAGGCGTGTGGAGCCAGGTAGGACTGTGTCCCGGGCGGGTTGGCTTTGCAAGAGCCCCCGGCTCCAGGCAGGGGAGCAATGAAGCCTGTCGGAGGTGCTGGTCCTGCTCTGCAGCCCAGCTCTGGCTCCTGCCATCAGGGATGGTCCCAAAGCTGCAGGCCAGAGCAAAAGGAAGGGGGTTGCACCGCTAGACAGAGACGGAGCCGGGCGGCTGGCTGTTGCTGTTGCTCTCGGAGGGGGTCTTGGCAGTGGAGGAGGTGGCCATCGAGCCACTGTTCCTGAAGATGCGGAGCAGCCTCCGCTTGTAGCCCCGGAAGGCAAAGAAGTAGATGATGGGGTCGATGCAGCAGTTGAGGTTCATGAATGCCACAGTGACTTGTAGGGACATCTTGAAGGCTTGCTGCTCACGGCAGGACGGCTGATAGAGGATCTTCCTGACCATAAACTGGATGATGTTGAGGTGGTAGGGGCTGAAGCAGAGCAGGACGGCCAGCAGCACCACCAGGATGACAGTGAAGGCCCGGCGGTGGTGCCCGTTCTTCACTGTCAACGGGTTCTCCTTGGCCGTCTGGCAGAGCTTGAGATTGATCCTCACGTAACACACCAAGATGATGCCCACGGGCAGGAAGAAGCCGAGCACGCAGGCCACCAGGAGCAGGTAGGGCAGCTTGGGAATCTCCTCGAAGTTGAAGTACTCCATGCACGTCAGCTTGTCCCCCATCTTCCGCGTCATGGGCCGCAGAAGCAGCGGCGCCGTCTGCAGGAACGCCAAGGACCAGGTGAGGACGCAGACGCCCCTGGCACGGCTCATCTTCCGGATCCTGCCGGGGTGCCTGGTGCGCACCACGGCGATGTAGCGGTCCACGCTTACGCAGGTCATGAAGTAAATGCCCACGTAGGTGTTCATGTAGAAAATGAAGGCTGTGGCCCGGCAGAACCAGTCCCCAAAGGGCCAGTTGAACTCCAGGATGTAGTAGGCGATCCTGCCCGGCAGTGCCAGGGTGAAGAGGGCATCAGAGAGGGCCAGGTTCACCAGGTAGAGGTCGGTGGAGTTGAGTTTCTTCTTCCTGCGCTGGAAGGTGATGCAGAGGGCCAGGATGTTCCCGCAGGCACCGAACACCAGCAGGGCAGTGTAGAAGAGGGAGAAGGTGACTTTGGCGGAGAAGTGGTGGTTGTGCACGTTGCAGCTGCTCTGGTTGCTGGAGGTGAGGTTGGGGGGGGGGAACACGGCCTCCGCAACAGCCATTTCCGCGGTGCCTCGCGAGCTCTTGCCCTCTCCCTTGGAATAAGAACAGACACGAAACTTGCAGCTTATCAATAACGGGAGCGGCACCCGTAGGGCCGGCCCTTGCCACGAAGCGAAGGCCTGTCCCCTGCTCCCTGCCACCCCCCTGGCAGCACACAGCTCGAGTCATTTGGAAAAACGCATCTCTTGTGATTTCGGTGAGAGCATCTCAACAAAGGCTGTGACTCATCGTCTTCTTGTCACCAGCTCCTCTTATTTTTGTTTTTTGCAAGCCCAATCAATACCAGAAAGGACAGGGGGGCTGGGAGGGGGAATCACCTGTCGAACAAACAAGGTCCCAAGCTCATCTGGTGGCAGCGATGTCATTTATTCATCACCGCGGGGGGAATGGGGAGCTTCATTGAGAAAACGCCCCGAAAGCGGTGGGGCTGGGGGCCGGCGGGCAGAGGTGACAAGGAGCACCTTTGCAGCCCTCGCGCTGGCACCGGAGCGGAAACAAAACCGAAGAAATTCAAAGAGAGGAAAAAAAACCCCAATCTTCCCCCAAAATCCCGCGCCCCTTGCCCCTCCGACGCGGGGAGCGAACACCCCAGCACCAAAAAAAATTTTTTTTTTTTTTTTTTTTTTTTTTTTTTTTTTTTTTTTTTTTT